TTCAGTAGTAACACTGCATATTTTGACAACAACCAAGAAGTTGACATTAGCCAGAAATAGTTGCTAATATTATAATCATCTTCTCATTTCTTAAAAATAATTATACTGCCAAACCAATGTTTCTCCCTCTTTCCTAAACTTCCTAGCTCCTTTAAAGCTCACGTCATCATATTATAGTATCCACTGTCCCTCCATTGTTTATATTATCCATAGACCTTGAAAGATATTCCCTGCAGTAGATTGAATTGTGTCCTCCCAAAGTTTAATGTGTTGGAGGTTTGGTTCCCACTGTGACAGTGTTAAGAGGGCGGGAAATACTATTATAATTGATAGGTGTGGCCTTGAAGAGGTGATTAATTTGATGGTTTAATGGAGGTCGTGGACGTGGTTCTGAGGGCTTTAAAAGGAAAGCCCACAACGACCTCTCTCTCTCTGCTCCGCCATTTTCTGCCACAAGAGACCCCTGCATTGCTGTAAAGCCATAACCAAAGAACGCCCTCACCAGATGTGTTCCCTGGACTTTGGACTTCCCAGCCTCTGAAACTGTAATCAATAAATTTTGCTTTTTTACAAATTACCCAGTTCCGGATTACTTTGTTATTAAGCAACAGAAACAGCCTAATACACTCCCCCGTATTTTAATACTTACAGAGTTTAACAGATGGCTCAATACCTCTTTTTTCACTACCCCTGCCATAATTCTTAATGATTCCAATATCCATTGAACAATATTTCCAATACTCAGGCCTCTCAATTTCTTGACCACCTGTCCTCCAATGATTTTCTCCTCTACCTGACCTCAGCTGCTAATTCCCATGGTTACATTACAGAAGTGGCCATTATCAATAACTGAAACTTCTCCACAGTTTCCATTTCAAACATCCTATTCTCTAATCTCCATCTCCTATATTTCCTACTCATCTCTTCTAATATCCACTCCAGGAATTCTTTAGCTCCCCTGGGTCCTCCAATCTATTGCTCTTGCCAACTTTTCTCTCTTTTGCAGCCCCCTTTTTCTCTCTCTGCTGCAGTGAGGCACTGCAAGCCTCAGTTCCTTGCTTACCCAGCTCAGTTTCCACTGTCCAATATTATAAATCACTTCCCTGTAGACACCGTCACTTCCCTTGCTACTGTCTATCTCTATCATACTTGTCTAGTAATACCCCAATCTAAGTTCAGTGCAACTGTCAGCCTTCTCTGTGCCTGCACACAAGTGACTGAACATGACTAGAGAACATATACAATCATGCTGACTGGTGACTTTAAATTTATGACCATAAACCTCAACAGTGACCTGCTGAAGTTTCGGGAAAGGTACCATTTGGAGAGAATACAATGTGAGCATGGGGTTCATGCTTCAGGACACAGTATATACCCTAAATCAATGAGCAGTATGCTGTATCCCAAACAGGTAAAATACATGGGTACTGGAACCAAGGATGGATGTAGGAGTGACCCCGTTTACCATCACTCACAATGACCTACTTGAGGGATTTGTGCTTCCCACCTCTGGAACTCTGGGCTCAGGTGACCCGGAGAGTGCGTGTTTCCTTAAATTTTTCACTCCAGGTGCCTCTCTTGCCTCTCCTCGTGTGTGTGTGTGTGTGTGTGTGTGTGTGTGTGTGTGTGTGTGTGTGTGACTTTGAAAAAAAGCAGCTCTCATCAGCCAAAGGCAAGTCTCAGAGAGAGACAGAGAAAGACTCATCTAGGGCTGTCAGCCACCAACATTCCCTGCAGGTAGAGGGATGAATGCTCAGTTGATCTAATCAAGCCCTCTCCTCCTCAGGTCCGTTGCTCTTTCTCTTCCTTTTGCTTGGTACACTCTTTTCCTAGATTTCCAAAGGACTCACTTCCACACTTCCCTCAGGCCTATGCTCAAGCACCTGTTTGCCAGAGAGGCCTTCCCTGACTGCTGTAGAACTCTATGCCTCAATATTCTCTCCTGTTACTCCTCTATTTTTCTTCATAACATTTAGCAATACCTGACACATTACATTTTATTACTTTAACTGGTTATTTTGGCCTTTCTCTACCAGAGCATATGTTCCATGAGGGCTCTGGTTTGTTTATATTTGTTGAATGCACAAACTAAAATGCCTTGAATTCATAGTACCCCCTCATGGAAGGCAGAGAGATTTAATGGAAGGAAGAGAGATTTATTTTATTTTTTTTAATTTTTATTTTATTTTATTTTATTTTTGTCCTTTTTGAGACCTGCTGCACCGCGCTCAGCCAGTGAGCGCTGTGAGTACACCAGTCATCCCTATATAGGATCCAAACCCGTAGCGGGAGCCCTGTGGTGCTCCCAGCGCCGCACTCTCCTGGGTGCGCCACAGGCTCGGCCCAGGAAGAGAGATTTAATGGAAGGAACTTAGAGTTTTGGAGTTAGACTAATTTTTTTTAACAGCTATATTTAGGTATAACTGACATATAATAAATTGTATATATTTAAGGCATAAACTCAATATGTTTTGACATATGTATACACTCATGAAACTAGCACCACAATTCAGATAATGAATGTATCCTTCATCCCCAAAAGTTTCCTCTTGGACTTCTGTAATCCCTTCTTTCTGCCCTTTTCCATCTGCAGGCAATCATTGATTTCCTTTCTGTTTTTAGAGCAGTTTGCATTTTCTAGAAATTTATGTAATTAAACAAAACCATCTGTATTCTTTTGGGGGGATGCCTCTGGCTTCTTTCACTCAGCATAATTATTCTGAGATTCATCCATGTTGTTTTGTGTGCATAATAGTTCATTCTTTCTGCTGAGAAATATTCCATTTATTTATTATTTACCTTGTAAATGGACATTTGGTTTGCTTATGATTTGGGGATTATTAAAAATAATGCTACTATAGGGGTTGGCCTGTGGCTCACTCGGGAGAGTGTGGTGCTAACACCAAGGCCACGGGTTCAGATCCCTATATAGGGATGGCTAGTTTGCTCACTGGGTGAGCGTGGTGCTGACAACACCAAGTCAAGGGTTAAGATCCCCTTACCGGTCATCTTTTAAAAAAATGAATAATAAATAAATAAATAAATAATAATGCTACTATGAATATTTGGGTATGTTTTTATGTGGACATAGCTTTCATCTCTTTCATTATTGGGCAAATATGTAGGAGTGGAATAATTGGGTCATATAATAGGTATGTGTTTAAACTTTTAAGAAATAGCCAAATTGTTTTCCAAAGTGGTTGTATCATTGTAAAATGTAAATTCCTACCAGATATGAGATTTCTGGTTGATCCACATCCTCATCAACACTGGGGATAGTCAGTCTTTCTAATTTTTTTTGTTTGTTTTTTGGCAGCTGGTCAGTATGGGGATCCAAATCCTTGACCTTGGTGTAATCAGCACCATGCTCTAATCAAGTGAACTAACCATCCAGCTCAAGAGTTGTTTTCTTGTTATTAAGTTTTGAGAATACACACACACACACAGAGTCTGGATGCAAGTCCTTTATCAGATATATGATTTGTAAATATTTGTCCCCAGTCTGTGGCCTGTCTTTTTATTCCCTTATTAGTGTAGAAGTTCTTGATTTTGATGAAGTCCATCTTACCAATTTTTAAATGATTCATGCTTTCAGTGTTGTATCTAAGCAATCTTTGCCTAACCTAAGGTCATAAAGATTTTCTTTTATGTTTTTTTCTAGGCATTTTATAGTTTCAGATATTACATTCAGATCTATGATCCATTTAGAGTTAATTTTTAAATATGGTCTGAGATATGGACCTAGTTCATGTCTTTTGTGTATTGTTATTCAATTGTTCCATCACCATTTGTTAAAAAAGTCTATCCTTTGTCCTTTGGATCGCCTCTGCACCTTGTTGAAAACCAATTGTTCATACATGTGTGAGTCTTTTTTTGGACTTTCTGTCCTATTGATCTATTTATCTATCTTGATGCCAATATCACCCTGTCTTAATTACTGTAGCTTTGTTATAAATCTTGAAGTGAGAGAGGTTAAATCCAGTCCCTTTCGTCTTATCTTAGATGGAAGCAAAGGACAGACTGATAAATTTTAATCCCAACTCAGACATTTAATACTTGTGTGATTTCAGACAAGTCAGTCAATTATGTTTATTCTTTGTTTATGTACTTGTTTATTGTTAGAATTACATATTATAATGTTAGATTAAATGCACATTATTATTAAGAGCCTGAGTGAGGAAGATGGCTCTGGAAATAAAAGGTATTGGAACTGCAGGGTAGTACTGGGAATGGATGAATTTAATGTGCTTATCAGGGGCCTCTCACTATCATTCTCAGCGCAGGGACATGCTCCTGCGTTTCTTCTCACATATTGAAGCTTTGCAGCAAATTGCTATCTATAGTGAAACTGATCACTTTGGGCTGAAATAACAACAATTAGAACAACAACAAATAAAAGTGAAAAACAAAAATTAAAGCTGGTCATGTTCCCTGAGTTTAAAATGATCATCCCACCGTATCAACAGTTTTCTGTATGTCTTTGTAAACTTTTTATCTAGAGAAGGTTTTTTTTTTTTTTTAAGATGACCAGTAAGGGGATCTTAACCCTTAGCTTGGTGTTGTCAGTGCCACGCTCAGCCAGTGAGCTAACTGGCCATCCCTATATAGGATCCAAACCCGTGGCCTTGGTGTTATCAGCACAGCACTCTCCTGAGTGAGCCACAGGCCGGCCCTAGAAAAGAAATTTTTTTAAAGAAAAGGAGTGCTTTCTACATATCACCTTGAAACTGAGGTTACAGTAGTTTTTTTGGCCTGCTTAGCATGTCTTTCTCCAACTCTCTTCTTTCTTTCAGTCTTTGCAATACCTGTCTCTGCCAGTCTCCCAGTGCCCCTAGTTACAGGTCAGCTCCACAATGAAGGGGAGGAGCTCGGCTACTTGCTAGGATCTGTTCCCAGCATCACAGCCTCACATTGCAGTGACCAACGGTGCTGCCCTCCTGGGGACCAAAGAGGACCCTGATCACTTTGTTTTGTGTCATGTGAGTGCTCTGCCCAACAGAATGGCTAGTGGACTGGAGAAATGTTTGTCTTTGATTGGATTCAGTCTTATCTGTCTTAAGATGGTGAGTTCACCATTCCATCTACCTGCAACTATTTAGGGGGAAAAAACACATTCCTTAACTTTCTCTATTTTGAAGTACTATGGAGTGAGGAGACAGAAATCAAAATACTTTTGTATCATACCAAGATTGTATATGTTTGCATGTTTGAAATTTAATGTGATATACTAGAGAAAGAAAACAAGATTATCATTATATTTTAAGAACAAAGATTTCTGGAAAATCTGTCAGCAGCTACTGACTTACTTCAATAGGCAGATTCAAAGGAAAAAATGAAATGGTAATGTGATCTGCTTCTAGCCTCTAAATTCTATTTAGAATTGCTTTGTGGTAGAGTTGAGTGTTGCGAAATTTGTGCAGACAAATACTCATGAAATGAAAGATTGCTCACATTTTGTATAAAAATGTTGTGATTAATTTATTACTGCTCTGATTTATATCTTACATTTTTCCAAATGGTGTTTTTCTTTTGGTCCTAACTTTCTAAACTTTCCTTTTCAGGTTGCTTCAGCAAAAACAGGTAAAATTTTCTGACATGCAAGATTTCCTTCTGCGTATTTGACTTACTTTTTCGTCATCAACTCGAGGGCTACTCTAAAATATGAAGGATATTTTCAGAAAAAAGTTTAACATTTTCTGAGCACTCAGCCTGGATGATAACTACTATATCAGGTGCTGGGGAGACGATAACCGGTAAAACAAAGAAATGTATCAAACTTAAAAGACAAGTCCTTGTAATTTATTCTTATTGAGTACGGCAATGTATGGAGTCATGCAGGCATGCATTTTCTTTTCTTTTTTTTTTTTTTTAAGATGACCAGTAAGGGGATCTTAACCCTTGACTTGGTGTTGTCAGCACCACGCTCTCCCAAGTGAGCTAACCGGCCATCCCTATGTAGGGATCCAAACCCATGGCCATGGTGTTATCAGCACCACACTCTCCCAAGTGAGCCATGGGACGGCCCTAGCCATGCATTTTCTCATACATGCTTAGCCATGAGTAAAATTCTACAATGATCATCGTTCCAGTCAAAGAAATAAAAACATAGTCACTAATAGTGAAGAGCCTAATTTATATAACTTTTGTTATTTGTCTTTTGGGGAAGTAGAGAAGAAAACTAGAAATGCTGTATGTGATTAAATTAAATTGTCAAGATTCCCTACTTTAATCAAAAAGGACTTTACACTTCTGATAGTGCATTTTTTTTTTTAAAAAGATGACCGGTAAGGGGATCTCAACCCTTGACTTGGTGTTGTCAGCGCCACGCTCAGCCAGTGAGCGAACTGGCCATCCCTATATAGGATCCAAACCCGCGGCCTTGGTGTTATCAGCACCGCACTCTACCGAGTGAGCCACGGGCCGGCCTCTGATAGTGCATTTTTAAGATAAAGACAACGGTAACTCAGAGCTGAAAAGGGGCTTTCTTTCAAAAAGATTTGATCACCATTTTTCTTGAATAAATGACTGAAAGCAAAAATAACTTGTTTAAAGGCCTCTCCTAGCTCATACATTCTAGAAATCTAAATCCCTGGAATATAAATTTATGTTTAATGGGATTTAGATTATCTATAGGAACCACATAATACCACTTATATCACCAATAAACTCTCACAGTGATTCAACATGAATTAGAACAGTTTTTGTTATTTTGTCTACACCACAGAAAAGGAAGTGGAATTAAGATAATTAAAAAATTTGGCTATATATAAAATTTATATATAGCCAAGCGATAAAATTTCATAAAATCCATGCATATACAATAGGTTTTAAAAATTATTTCTTGTTTTATTCTTATTCTCTTGCCATATTTTAAGAGACCTTCAGAATTGGTTAGAAAGCTATCAGAAGGACTGCTTGGTCATATACAAAGTAATTTTTCTTTAGTAAGTAGCCTTTGGGTGGGAAAACTTAGCTCTGTCTTCTCTTACAAGGTCCTAGCACATCCAGGACACAGAAAGCCCTCAGAATGGGCCCCATTTTTGTCCCCACAGCATCCACACTGTTGATGCTGTTAATTGATTCATCCTTTCTTTTCAAAAGATGGGATATGTTTTATTTATGCTGTATCAAATATTTCGTTTTAGGTATATGTATTTTGATTCTCTTTGGTCCCTGGCATCAGCTGTTCATCTGTGCCTGGCCACTGGGGCCTCATGGGCTAATTTAGATCTCTTTGAGTTGGTAGAATGAACAGATGCTGAGAATCAAAGGGTTTCATTTTTGACTGATCAGAGTGGTTGGCTGCACATCCAGGAAATAAAGTTTTCTCTTTCATCAATCTTGTAAGTAGGCTAAACAAAAAAGTAAGAAAGAGTAAGGAAGTATTGCTACTTTATGGAGCCCTATACCTGTCACTCAATCTGCTCATCTCTTACAGGGGAACATAGTACAGAGTCATTGATCTTTCATTGCTGGTGCTGGTCAGAGCCTGCCCTAGAACCAACTGTAAGACAGGCAACACATCTCTCCAGCCTGTTTGTGCCCCAGACTACCCAGAATCTCACTCTCACTGGCACCACTCCATATGGTCTGGCTTTTCAAAACCCATTAAAACTTGCTCATCTTGGTGTACACACACACACACACACACACACACACGCGCACGCATGCATACTTTCATACACACACACACACACACGCACGCATGCATACTTTCAAAGTGCTTTAACATACACCATATCACTTAATCTTTACAATGATCCTAAAATGTAGGTATTTTATGTTTCAGAGTAAATCCTACCATGTAGGTATTACTAATATTCTGCATTTCTCAAGGGAGAAAACTGAGACTAGAAGAGGTTAAATGACTCACACGTGGCCACAAATGAAAGTAAATAGCAGAGCCAGGGTTCAATCCCAGAATTCCTGAATCCAAATCCTTTGCTATTTTTCCACCACACACCCTGAGTTTCATTCTGCTGATACTGGCTTTCTGCATTACTCTTTCCAGGCGAATGCGCCTCTCCTAGCTCCGTTCAATGGGGCAAGTTTTGTGGCATCCTCGGGCCCTGTGACAGGACGGTGTGGAGATAGTTTGTGTCATGCTAGCCTTTTAGATGCCATTCAAACCACTCCATGAATGCACTAGCAGGCCTCCTATGTCTATGGCTAGTTTGGTTGTCATTTTCCCAGGAAGTTAGTTCCTTCAATGAGCAGGACTGGCTAATGTAGGAGATATGATAAACTGTGGGAACAAAGGAAACAAAAGGAGTTGAGAGACATCAAACTATCAGAGGAAAGAGGCATTGTGCACAGGACAAATAACTGGGGGAGCAGAAGAGGGATGTGTGTGAGAGTGGGATGAAATGGGGAGCCCCCCTGCTGGGGCTTTATATTTTGCAAGGGGGAGAGGGGACATAAGTTCTTCCTGCAAAATCAGCTTCAACTGGCAAATGGCTAAGAAGAGCAGGCCATCATATACAACTATCAAAATTGTCTTTCTATGGCAAAAGAGACAGTCCTGGGTGATGTTCAAGGAATGTCTGGCAGTGCACAGTGGAGACTTTGTTCATTTTTTCAACATGGTTATTTCTGAGATGCTGCCAAAGCCAACTTTCTGGGCTATTGGTACAGAAGGAGAGAGTTGTCTGTATCATGCTAGTAGGGATTTGGCTGCAGGAGACGGAGGAGATAATACTGGCAAATCACACATCTGTATTTATTCTTTCTCCCTCTTTGCCCTACAGTTTTGTTTGTTTTGCCTTTTAGTTTTGAATTTGACATATAGTAATTTTACCCAGCAAATGAAATATGTTAAACATAAAAGCCCAAGGGCCAGTTTTAGACAACTGAAGACTGTCTTAACAAGCACAGCTCATCTGTGCTGAAACTAAGGCTGGGTTAAGATGGGGTTTAGGTCCTCATTAAAGTCCACAGCATAGAGTTTAAGAGGAAATGATGAAATGGTGCTCCCTGAAACATCTCTTCTTTAAATTTAATTAGACAAATTATACTCAAACTAGTAGATGCCCTGGGAAGGCAATCAACATTAGGGCTAATAAAAAGCTTGAATAGTATAAAAGGGCTGGAGGAGGTATTGTAGAACCTTTCTAGCACTTATGAGAGGTAAATTAACACCAATTGCTAAACATAGAAACTGGATAAATTTCAATATTCATTTAGAAATTAATTTTATGATGCTGTCCTAAGTATTAAAATACAGGTTATACTTAAATCATTCAAAGTTTGGCATGTTCACACATGTGCACAAAGTATTTGATAGATATTTACACACTGGGAGACACAATTATGGTCTGACTTTGGAGTTTTGGCAGATCTGGGTTCAAATTCTGGCAAGTTTCCCTACTAGCTTTTTTTGGGTGCGTGTGATCCGAACCCTCGGGCGGGAGCACTGCCGCGCTTCCCAAGCGGCGCACTATCCAGTGCGCCACCGGGCCGGCCCAAAACCCAGCTATTTTCATTTGACCTTTTCTTCTACTTGAATCTCCTACATCCAGGACATTTTTGTGTCTGTGGATTTTTGTAAAGTAGTAAATCTGACAACCATACTATATCTCCTACCCCATAACCAAAATACAGGAGTGCCTTGTGTAAGCTCATGACATAAGCATTTATATCCCCCTGGCAAACCATGGCCAGGCACAAGTGAACAAGTGAAGTGGGACCACAGCATCTCGTTCTTATGCTGAGGCAAATGTTCTGTAGAGAAAGGGATAATAAGCTTATTTTTATTATATACAGAAGAATCTGAAAATTGTTCTACTCTGATAATACAAAAGAAAGTAGTATGGCGTAATTATAACAAAGAATTCAATTCTCCTTCCTTCTTCCTTTACCTTAAATGCCATTTGGGAAATGTGCAAGGTGCATGAGGGAGTGACCACAGCCATTGGGCAGAGGTAGGGGCACAGAGGTGGTCCCAGCTGGAGGCAGCTGTAGCACAGCTGTGGGACAGGAGGGGGGATCATTGGCAAAGCAGCCTGGAAACTTCACAGAACACCAAACTAGAGTAGAATCCTCTGTAATAAAGTCCCTCAGTCATTCCCACCTGTCAGAGTTTTTTCCCTCAATCACTTCCCACTCTCTTTTTACTCTTTTAGAGGTACAAAAAGTGCAAATTACTCCACAGACAACTGGGCAAAACCTCTTTGAAATCCCATCCCTGAATGAGAGGTCTGAGCTTTCTGGCTCTCTTCTGGAGATAGCTTTGCCTTCCTTTTTCTCTGTTTTTCCTTGATCTGGGGGAAATATGGGCAAAGCTTATGTTTGAAGGATGGCATGAGAATAATTTAGTTTGAAGAGTAAAATGTTTGATTGGGTTTTTTTGTTTCGTGTTTTTGGCTGCTGGCCAGTATGGGGATCTGAGTCCTTGAAGAAGAGTAAAATGATGGAAGAAGTAATCCTTGTATATATCCTGGCTAATGTACAACTTCCCAATATCTTTCAGCTCCTGAAATACCCACTATTAATCAGGCATATTCAAAAATCAGCAACAGTATCACTGTAGAATGGGCTACAGTGCCAGGGGCCACCAGTTACCTCCTCACAGCTGAAGACGGGGACACAGTCATTGAAACCATGGTGGCCAATTCCCCAGGCACTGTGACAGGCCTGAAGGCTGCGACCTTGTACACAATCACTATCAAATCCATCAGTGCTATGGGGAGAAGCCAGGAATCACCTCCAAAGCAGGCAAAGACAGGTAGTGGAATGTTCGTCCTCGGTTGAGCATTTGCTTGTGACCTGAGTGAGTCATACCAGTGCAGCAAATGCATAATGTAATTTGGTGTCACATGAGTGCCTACAATTCAGGGCCCATAGGAAACCTGGGTATCTTTGCAGGAGGTGGTATAAAATGCCAGATGCTTTGCCTTGGAAAATAAAGCCCATTTCTGGGCATCTTTAAAAGCATCTCTGCTTTTAAATCTCTGTAAAAGGGATTTCTGGGCCGGCCCGGTGGCGCACTGCTACAGTGCGCCGCTTGGGAGTGCGGCGGTGCTCCCGCCGAGGGTTCGGATCCCACATACAGACCGGTTCCCGCTCACTGGCTGAGCGAGGTGCGGGTGCAACACCGAGGGTTGCGATCCCGTTGCCGGTCCCGGTCCAGTACGGGCGCGACACCGAGGGTTGCGATCCGTTGCTGGACACGAAAAAAGACAAAAAGGAAAAAAAAAAAAAAGGGGGGGATTTCTGTTTTTAACCATCCAAATAAAGAACACATAGTAGGAATTTTGCTGCACTTTGACGGCATGGCATATATGTTAATGAATAAAAACATTTGGAGTTTGTCATCAGCATTCCTTAAATTGAGTTGACAAAATTGTACCTAGGCATATTTCTGAAAAGTTATGTACACATTCAATAGTTTAAACATCATTTCCCCCTGTGATTTATATTATGATTATAAGATGTTTTACGTAATTTCTGACCAATTTCCAGTTGAAAGTAGTACCTAATATCTAGAGTTTCTCTGTTCCCAGTTCATCTGCAAAGTCATTTATGATTAATACACACTTAAATAACAATTATTTAATGGAACTCTGCCATGAAAACTTTTACTTTTTAAAATTCTTTTATAATTATTTGCTAATCAACCTCAATTTACTTATTTCTATATTTGAATTATCCTCTCTTGGACTTCTGTAACACAAATGTATGTGTTTTTGTTTTTTTAGTGTTGGCTGCACCAGTTCTAGAAGTAAGCTGTCCAAGTCCAGATTCTATTCTTGTGCAGTGGGAAGCCGTATATATGGCAATTGGGTTCTCTGTGTCCATTATGCAAGCCAATGGCTTGGGTACAATATGGAAAGAGAATACTACAAACACCTCCTTGACATTCACCAGTTTAGATGCCGGGACTCTCTACACCATAAAGGCCTATGCATGGAATGCCAATGGAATCCCTGGAGATGACTCCACCTGTAATCAAAGAACAAGTAAGGTCTTCTCAGCTCAGCCTCAGACAACCTCATTTTTGATTAATGAGGGGGCTGTGCAGCTTAGCTGTCAAGAGCAGTGTTAAGTGATAAGAACAGAGTAGCTCGCAGCAGCTATTTAAATGTATTTTGAAGTTACTTATAGTGCCTTAACTATTCCTCCTCAGTAGTTTAAATGCTTACTGCATGCATAAAAAAATGCTGCTCAGAATTCATAGAGTATGACACCTCCCCCTCTGCTATCCACCTCAAGTTCGGCATATCATTCAATACCACCCAGAAGGAGATGATTCTTGCTAGGTTTCCAATCACGCTTGTCCCTTGCTGGGTTCAGGCCGATAGTGTAAACAAAAAGAATTGGGCCAAGCTGGAATTAATTTATTCAACACTTAGAGAGTGTGTGCCAGCTTTCAGCTGGCATTGTTCTACAGACACAGCAGCAAACAAAACAAAGTTTCTGCTGTCATGGTGCTTTATTCTTGGGGAGAATCAGTGTGTCACATCTATTTCCCAAAGGCCTTGACTTAGGCCAAGGCTGACATATAGGGCTTCCCACCACCTTTCCTCTATCGTAGGCTGGGAAGCCAGAGCATGTTGTGTGTTCTCTCACCACCCCACCCCAGGAGTACCCCAACCAGGGGATCCTACAGCACAGTAACTGAAGTCCAAACTGAGCTTCTGGAGTGAGCCAAAAGAATGAGAGGGAATGAGGGAAGGGGACAGACAGAGACAGAGACATGTTTTATTCTTCTCTTGAGGCAGAGTAAGCCGTCCACTGGCAATGTGGCCTAAGCAGATGTTAGACTCTCACCAACCAGATTAGCTGTTTCATCCCTTGGGGAAGTCCAAGGAAAAGGTGGAAAGAATCCAGAAATGTTTTCTCTCCAACTTTCCCTGGAATTGGAAGGCAATGAAGGCCCAATTGTCTGTGAGCCAAGGCAGAAATGTAGGGAGAAGAGAAAGGTTTGCATTTTGTTATACTTCTCTAGGGAGAAAACATAGCAAGTAGCCCCAAGGGGATTTATGATGGGCTTGGTGAATCAGACTGTCTGTGATAGACCAGTCTCCCTAGTCCTTTGCCTAGGCTGTCTTTTCTTTTTTTCTCTTTTCTTTCTCTTCCCTTACCTTTCTCTTTACTCCCTCCGTCCGTCCCTCTCTCCCCCTCCCCCTCCCTCCCTCTCCCCCCCCCTCCTTCTTTACCTCTTCAAACATTTATTGAGGGTCCACTATGTGCTGGGCGTAGTTTCGCTGATGAGAATACAAAATCAAATAAAGCATGATTTTTACACTCAAAGAACTGATGTGTCCAAGGAGAGATCAAAGCACAACTCAACAGTTCATTTCCGTGTAATGGGTGCTTTGATAGAAGATGTGTGGGCACAGGGTGGTACAGGAGGAGCATCCATATCAGATGCTGGGAACCGAGAGAACCAGCTCCTAGAGATGACTGGTTTCTTAAAGCCTCCCCTCCACTTGTTTCCCTATGTTCTAAAAAACTTTGGAGAATTTGGATTTAGCCTCTGTATCAGTTTTCTAGGGCTGCTATAACAAAGTACCACCAACTGGGTGGCTTAAACAACAGAAATTTATTGTTTCACTGTTCTGGAGGCTATTAAGTCTGAAATCAAGGTGTTGGCAGGGTTGGTTCCTTCTGCGGGCTCTATTCCAGGCTTTCTCCTTGGCTTGTAAATGGCCATCTTCATGTTCACATGGCATTTGCCCTATATGCATATGTCTGTGTGTAAATTTCTTTTTAAGGACATTAGTAATACTGGATTAGGGCCCGCCCTAATGACCTCATCTTAACTGATCTTAAACAATGACCCATAGCAGGGTCATTGCATCTGCTATGACCCTATTTCCAAATAAGGTCTCATTCTGAAAGTACTAGGGTTTAGAAGTGTAACATGAATTTGCGGGAGACCCAACTGAACCCATAAAAACCTCACGTTACTCTATCTATTTTTCCTAGTTCTCCCGTGCCCCATGTGGGAAAAGCAGGGTGTCCTAAAACACTACAGGCTACCACTGCTAGCCTTGGGCCTAGCACTACCCCAAAGTAGACCTGCCTCTGCAGACATGTTGACATGCAGGTGGAGAAGAGCCTGTCAGGATGGCCTATGAGAGAAACATGGCAGGTGCCTGCTTTTCAGAGAATGAGTTAGGTCCATGTATCCTCAAAAAGGCCTTTTCTGTTTACCCCAGATGTGTCCAAAGAGATGCTGCTTTCTGTTCACAGGCTGTCCAAAAGTTTTTGAAAGCCTGCTGGGTGGTCTTTGTTATAGCAGGGTTCCAAAGGAGAATTGAGGCCAACTTTTCTCCTCCTCAGCCCAGGAGGACACCTCCTCAAGCTTTTTAAATGGGATAACCCTAAAGAAAGGGAGGCATATTTATAAGAATATAAGGGAAAGTGCTTTAGAGACACTAGAAGACTGCCTTGAGCTGGCCAGTTAGGTCAGTTGGTTAGAGCATGGCCTTGTAACACCAAGGTCAAGAGTTCAGGTCCCCGGGGCCGGCCCGGTGGCGCACTGCTATAGTGCGCCGCTTGGGAAGCGCGGTGGCACTCCCGCCGAGGGTTCGGATCCCACATACAGGCCGGTTCCCGCTCACTGGCTGAGCGAGGCGCGGGGGCAACGCTGAGGGTTGTGATTCCGTTGCCGGTCCCGGTCCGGTACGGGGGCGACACTGAGGGTTGCGATCCGTTGCCGGACACGGAAAAAGACAAAAAGGAAAAAAAAAAAAAAAGAGTTCAGGTCCCCATACCTGCCAGCTGCCTAAATAGATAGATAAACAAACAAACAAATACATAAACAAATGACTGCCTTAATGTTTGATCATGACACTTGATACTCTCCTTCCTTGCCTTTGATTTAGAATGGAAAGAAAGTCTGCTCCTCTAGAAACAATTATGACTTAAAAGCTATTACAGTAAAAGTCTTAGTACATGTTCAAAAGTGAAGAAGAGATATGTTTAGCTTCATCAATCAATAATAGAGAAAATATTTGGACTATCACTGAATAACATCATACTCACATGGCCCTTTTAGCCCTTCACTTTTATAATTTCGCTTAATTCTTCTAACCACTTGTCAAATAGTATATTCATTCATTCATTCATTGAAAATATGCTTTTTTAACACCTGTTAGGCACTGATCTTATTAGATCCATTTTACAGATGAGAAAAATATTACCAAATAACAAAACGATTAATATGGTCAAGGTCACATAGCTAATTATGGATTTGTATAGTTAATGGCAGATGTGTTACCTGTTCTCAGGTATCCTGAATTCCAATTTTATGCTTTGAACACTTGTAATTATCCAATTATTGGGGCAACTTATCCTCTGAGCTCCACAACATTGTTAAACCAAATCTTACTTGGGTTCTTGAGGCTATTACAAAATCTTAACTGTTTCTCAAAAATATAGGTCCTCATGCCCCTGCCAACATTCAAGTCTCTTTTGATAGTGGGACCCTGAAGGCATCTGTTTCGTGGGCACCAACAGAAGGAGCTTTCAACTATACTGTGATGGCTTTGAGTGACTCTTCAGAGCTGAGCTGTAGTACAACTTTTAGTTCCTGCACCATCTCCTCCCTCCAATGTGGAACTGAGTACCTGATTTCAGTTTTAGCAAGTAATGATGCTGGATCTAGTGAATCATCTTCAGCAGCAACCCTGAAAACTGGTATGTAAACAAGATTGTGATCGCTGAAGGGCTGGCAAGTCAAAGTGATAAGGGAAACAGATAATATCTGACTGTGTTCTAGAACACTCTGGAAAGAGTGAAAACGAAAGCCGGTCTCAATGAAAGCATTGAGTTGAACATTCTGATGAGTTGGAATAATATTGATAGTGAAACCAGATATTGTGCATTGCAAAAAGCACTTCTTTGAAAATTAGGAGGCCTGGCTCCTATTCTAGATCTTTTATTAATTAGTTTTTTTCTTTTTCTTTTGTAAGGATATAAAAATTCTAAGATCCAGTTTGAGTTATACACAGCTCTAATTGTGCAGTACAGATAACTGCCTCTTCTTTACGTCATGTTTCATGATCTAGGCTTGATGGAGCTATTTTTAAAAGATAAAGGTAGGGGCAAGCCCGTGGCTCACTCAGGAGAGTGTGGTGCTGATAACACCAAGGCCACAAGTTTGGATCCCGTATAGGGATGGCCGGTTAGCTCACTGGCTGAGCGTGGTGCTGACAACACCGAGTCAAGGGTTAAGATCCCCTTACCAGTCATCTTAAAAAAAAAAAAGATAAAGGTAGGATATTTCTAGTTCTGAATATGTGTTTAGATATTTTTCGCCACAAGTTTGGATCCCGTATAGGGATGGCCGGTTAGCTCACTGGCTGAGCGTGGTGCTGACAACACCGAGTCAAGGGTTAAGATCCCCTTACCAGTCATCTTAAAAAAAAAAAAGATAAAGGTAGGATATTTCTAGTTCTGAATATGTGTTTAGATATTTTTCCATTTTCATTCTTATCAGAGACATAAAGACATACATATGCGGAGGTTTACTCTTCTATTTAGAAATATCTGTGGTGGGGGATGGAAACTAACATATAGTGAAAACCTACTATATCTCAGGCACTATAAATACATTCTTTTATTTAATTCTCATGATAACTCAGTGAGGTAGGCTCTATTATCTCCTTTTTCATATAATTGAAGCTCAGAGAGGTTAAATAATGTTCCCAAGGGTACACTGTTAGTAAGTGGTAGTAGAGCTGGGATTCACGCTCAAGTTTGCCTGATTTCAATCCTCTAAGCCAAAGATAACGTATGTAATTACAATAATGTCCACTTTATCTAACCGAATTACATCGTTCTAAGTTTAAAAGGCTTCTGAGCAGAGAGGAAAGGAGCTGTCATCAGGCCAATAGGCTCTACTCAGGAAAAAATACACCCAATCCCACATACCCACAGTTTCTTAGAGTCATGTTAAATTAAGGTCACTGATAACAAACTTGGTCATTTGGCTTCTCTTTTGACAACTATAATTTAATGTGGATGATACATTAGAAGTGGTTATGAGGATGGGATTGCTGAGAGTGAGAAAAGAAGTAATAACCACTTTCAAAAGCGTAACAGTTCTGAGTTAGTCATTTAATGCAGCAGAAAACTACCCAGTGTTTTTCCATCTTGGGCGTGTTAAGAGCATCTGGGGAGCTTTTATAAAATGCCAGTACCAGGTCTCACCTAAGACCAATTAAACTGGAGTTGCTTAGAATAGATTCTGAATATGTATAGTTTGTAAAATCTCCCCAGGTAATTGTAATGTGCATTCAGGGTTAGGTGCTACTGAAATAGTCCTGCACACTTATCAGTCCAGGAGGTACCACTGTAGTTTGTGTATAACACAATCAGTTGTGATCTTAGAAACAACTTTGATTTCTCAATGAAAGAACTACATTTAGAAAGTACTATGTGTTTCCTGGGGCCTAGAAATGTGTAATATATTTTAAGAAAATTTCCATTGGAGATGACTAAAATTTTAAAGGCTCAAGGCTTGAACGAATAAACTTCATTTCTTTTTTTTTTTAATTTTTATTGAATCAAAATTTATTATACATATTTTGGGGGTTCAACATTGAGATATGTTGATCAAATCAATATTACTAGCATATATATTGTTACAAATTGTAATTATTCTTCATGCCCCTTGTCCAATCCCTCCCCATCCCGCTTTCTCTCCCCCTCCCCCTTTCTCTCCCCCTCCCCCCTCTAATCACCCCAGATGTCTTCTCACCCTCTGTAAGAATAATGGTTACTCCGTTGATTTGCTGCCCAAATGATCTGTCCAACGCTGAGAGGCATGATCAGGTCCCCCAATACTATCATAGAGCAGATGTCTCTTCCGTCACTATGAAATGGGCTCTGTGGAGACAGACATCCTCCTCCTTTCTTTATTTCTGCTGGTGACTCTCCTTGTGTCAACTCACTCCAGTGGCTGGCAGATGATCTGCATGGTGGTTGTGGCATCTAGCTGCCTTCGCAGCAGCCATGGTTGTCGTGGTGGCTGTGGTGGGCCACCCACGTGGAGATGTTTTTGGCCTGCTCTGTGGTGCTGGCAGTGTGCCTGGTTGTGGAGAGTGTCTGATCTCCGGTTCCAAGCTCTGGGTCCCTGAGTGGGTCCCGAGGCACTGGCACAGTGTGCCAGGTTGTTGGGGGGGGGTCCAGTCCTCTTCTCCATGCCCCAGGTCCCCAAGCAGGCCCCAAGGTGCTAGCACAGGGTGCCTGGTTGTAGTAGGGGGTTCCGTTATAAACCTCATTTCAATGTATTCCTTCAGAAGAGTTCATTCCATGCTACTCCTGGATAAATGAGACAATTGCCTTAACACAGAAAAACAGGCAATATTAACCAAGGCAATTGATGCCTGTTTCTGACATAGTCTAGCATGTATTATGTGAGATAAATTTTAGGACATCTGAGGATTCTCCTTGGTTTGCACTGAACAAATTATTTGATTTGTTCCTTGTCTATAGCATCTAGTATTTTAAGTTTCTACTTACAGTGCTCCCTGGAGGATGGAACGGGCATGAGAATGCGTTCTGTCATTCAGTGCATGAGAGGCTGCTGTTGGCAGAACTGTCTGTACTATGGGGGCTCTACACACAAACCCCCAGAAAGATCCACCTCCATCCCTTCCTAGCTCTGTGAGCTTGAGCAATTCTCCTAAGCTCTATGAGCCTCAGTTTCCTCAATTGTAAAATGATAATTGTTGGAAAAATTAGAGAAAATTTTAATAGAGAGCACAATGAATGATGACTACTTTTTATCTCAAAAAACAAACAACTTCAGGCCGGCCTGTGGCTCACTTGGTAGAGTGCGGTGCTGATAACACCAAGGCCACGGGTTCGGATCCTATATAGGGATGGCCGGTTTGCTCACTGGCTGAGCATGGTGCTGACAACACCAAGCCAAGGGTTGAGATCCCCTTACCAGTCATCTTTTAAAAAAAAAAAAACAAACAACTTCTGGGTTATTCACTATTCCACTCAGGCCAGACTGGTTTCATCTCTGGATGAGGTCAAATCTTTCACCAAACATTCTTTTTTTTTTTTTTTCTTTTTTTTGTCTTTTTTCGTGTCCGGCAACGGATCGCAACCCTCAGTGTCGCGCCCGTACCGGACCGGGACCAGCAACGGGATCGCAACCCTTGACGTCGCGCCCGCACCTCGCTCAGCCAGTGAGCGGGAACCAGTCCGTATGTGGGATCCGAACCCTCGTCGGGAGCGCCGCCGCGCTCCTAAGCGGTGCACCGTAGCAGTGCGCCACCGGGCTGGCCCTTTCA